ACACTGTTCCTACAGTCTGGCTAATTACCACGGCATCCCTGTTTCACCAGTTCATGTGGTTAGGATAGTGAATCTACTGTGATATATTGCATACTACATCAAGGTTGGCACAGCACGTAACCAAGCTACAAATGCCAAGCCTTGGGACTCAAGTCGAAACATCTCAAATGTGGCACTAGCGTCCAGGCAGGCATGGGAGGCAGGTGGGGCATTTCGGATCAACTACCGCAGCATAAAAGCATGATGCGATGCCGCATGAGCTAGAGCTATGCAACTCCTCAAATGTGAGTTGAGGTGGACAATGAGGAAGACAGGCAGACTCACTAGTGGGTGTGCTGAGACGCTGTATCCCAGAGGAGACTGCAACCTCCTCGTCAGGCAGAGGCGGAACTGCAAGGCTGGTTGTGTCCGTATCCTCTGAGGTCGATGATGGCGACAGTGGAGGTAGTGGAGGCACCCTAGTCCTACGCGAAGGCACGATTCTCGATATGCGTGAGCAGAGCTTCCTCGGTGGGACTTCCTTACTCGACAGATCTACAAGGCGGCACAATGATTACCAACATGTAATGAGAGTGCAGAGGAGGAGGGGGAGGAGACTAAGCAGTGTGGAGTATTTCCGGGTCGGGGGAAAGTTGGTGTTGATGAGAATGCACCAATTTGCCGTATTGTAATCCATCCTCTGCCTCGTCAAAGTGGCAACGATGGTGGATCCTTTTAGGCCATCTGAAGCAGCTGTTATTGATGGTCCGGATTGCCAAGTGGTGGTTAAAATTCTGCATAATATGGTCGGCATTTACTCTCCTTCGCCTTAGTCGTGACTCCTTTCTCTGAGGTTGCTACGGCTATACACGGAGAGGTGAGGCGAGGAGGAGAGGATATGCGAGTCCTTCAAAGTTGTTCTTGCTCGATACAGATGTTTGATATGAAGGTAGCTGGTTGTGACCATTTTGAACGGATTGTGTAGACGCTCTTTCTGCTGCATGGATTGGGTGTACCACGTGTACGGATGCCGGAGGAATGTTTTGAAAGGGC